GATGCCACGGGAAACTCGTCCAAAATTGATTTCAACAGTCTTAAGAAGTCTGTTCTGCACTTTCATTGGAGCGAAATTCAGTGTTATTAACGTAGGACACTTCACAGTAAAGTCCGTAACAATTATTCAGCGCAATGGACGGCAACGCAAGAGTTTATCTCATTCCCATTCACAGAAAAATATTCAATCACATCAAGAAATGCACTACTCGACTGTAGCAAAAAGTGGAATCTAGAAATAGCCAAGCAATAAAGAAATTCACAGTCAAAATATTTTTATGACATGCCCTGGAACATAGTGCATTTCTATGATTCCAATTACCAAACAGCACAACGTTTAGTAGGATTCATCGGAGTACCGATCGCGCATTTGAAGGCAGCAGCAAACTCTGGTTGATTGGCGACAACCTGATTAACCCTGAAAAACTAACATTCATCGAACAATGAAACCAAATACCAATAAAATTGGAGCTGTAGTACGTAAACACCTTACGCACGGTGACGTCAAGCCTTTTCCCCATTACTATTCGCATATAGCATTGTATAACTGTAAATTGCCCTTTCCGTCATACAGAGAACGCAACACTGAGAAACAAACCACATGAGAATGTCTCAGTATCCAAATGCAATAACCTTCTCCAGGGATATCGAGTGTTCTGATTAAATTATCAAAGAACTTTGGGTTCTTTCGCTTCCGAAATTTTGAATCGCGATATAAGTCGAGAATGCATCCAACACTGTCTCCACTTTTTGCAAAAGCGACGTCGTGCGATGGGTGAGCCCGTTGAGAACCGCAGCTTATCCATGACTTCACTTCTATTATGCCAATCTTAAGAGCCAGCAGACCAAATTGTGGTTAGCTTTGCTCACAGAAAACCCACATGGAGTTCAAGACGATCATAGGGAGAGTGTTTTTTTCTCTCGAATCTCCAATTGCACATACATTAGTGCAATATCACACGTGACACCAGGAAATCTTACAGCGATGCAATCTTCAGCTTCGTTCACACAGCGGAGTCGCAGCCTTTGAATATATTTTTTAGGGGTTTGACTAGTGAGTAGTGATTTCTGACTCCAGAATATTGTCAAAAGATGATAGTTTTGCCGAAGTAAGTTGTTGTGGATTATATTGATGGGCTAATTGAACTTAAACGCACGCGGAGCTCAGATTACTCAAGTAATTATTCGGGCTGTACTTGTAGCCGAAATCAGATGATAGGAAGTTTTTCGCAGATTAGTTTGGTAGAGAAACCATGGGAGCTCGCCTGTCAGCTTCCACCGATTATTCTTCTCATACCAGAATGACCTTTATTGACGAAGAGTGTTATATGATTTCCTGTTTTGCCTCTACTCAAATGAAAATCCCGAGCTGATTCGTCAAAGTGGAGCCGCAGAACCACAATCAACTTCCCGCCGACGTCCGCTTTTGCGAACCTATGCTGAGAAGCAATTAAAAATTCCTCAAGGAGAGAAGAGCAGCAGCGTCTACGGAAGCAGGCCATGTGAGAGTTGCATGACACCTGGTTCACACAGCATACGCGAATGTCCAAAGAACTTTCCAATAGTCCTTGTTGAAACTCTGGTCCAACACTTCACGCGCTACCTGTCGGAAAGGATGGCGCAATGCTCACGGAAACCAGCAGAACCGTGCTGCTATTAGTAGGAAGACTTTCACGACATTGACAGGTATTGACCAATCTGCCTGCGGCCTGTGGCCCACAAATATTTCACATGAACCATCCTATACATATTGGCAGAACACAAGATGTATGGCCATACGAGCAAGCAGGGTTTCGGAGAGGATCAACAAGTCGACCACATCCAGACAGTAACAAGGTATAGCGAAAACACGAGATTCCCTCATCTCTGAAGTTCGTCATCTCTGTCGGGACAAAAGCCGAGAGAGCCTTGGGAAACCTATTTCTCCCGGCTCAACATGAGGATTCCTCCTCAGCTCTGGAGTAACTCTACAAGGGGATTCAACCACTCTACGTTTGGACATCACTAGCGTAGAGGGGGAGGTTCGGCAGGACAACACTCCTCGCCCAAACTTTTCAACACCTTCTCGAAAGCGCGATGCGTCAGCGGAAGTGGGAAGAAATGGGAGTAAGGACCGACTGCCGACAACTACATCGTCACGGCCTCGCTGAATACATAGTTCTCGAACATCGAGTAAACTGAGCGCAGGCTGCTTGATTTCGGCGCGCGTGAATCTGCAGATAAATTCGAAGAAAACGATGTATATGAGGAAGGGATTGGTTTCTGCTGTCCTATTCTTGCTCAACGGACGAAATCTATGAATGCTTCACCTAAGTGTACAGTCCTCATCATTGCGGACCGGTGGGGCGTGTCAGCCAGAAGGAGTGCGCACACTGTTGAAGCCGTTCTCAGCCTTTTTTGTTGCAACGCGTATGCGACAAAAAGTGGTAGAAAACGAGTAATACGAAGGATATAATACAGTAATGCACTTGCCCGCTTCAAAAACTGGTGCAGAACGACTTTGCCAAACCGCACCAAACGCAGCCGCACTGCCACGCCCCACCGGTCCGCAATGATGAGGACTGTACCAGGGTGGGGGAAATCAGCATGACGGACGACCTAGAACAATAGCGCTGCAGAAAAAAAAGCGAGCGGTTTGGGGTGCTTCCAAAAACATGAGGAGCTTATCGAAGGGTATGAAGGACACTAGGCTACGTGCCTTTCCTCTCCGATTCCTTTGACCTGAGCCTCGTCTACTTGGACTCCAAGAGCTTTGACGAGCATGGGGTTTAATAATTCCCACGCTTCCCCTTGTTATAGCCTTGACATGATGTTGAAAGCGTACAAACGAGGTTGCTAGATGACAATTTCATTAGCCAAACTTTTCGAGCTTCTCGTCCGCTTAAGAGGACTGAAAATAGTTCTGAGATTTTAATTTGTTACCTACCAAACGCCCTCCTTCTCTAGCGTTCCCGGATTCCTGTCCCGAACGTTTCTTAACTACCCGTAAACAACTGTAAACAGTGCAAAAAAATTCACCGCAAGTCCCACGGTATTAGTAAGAGAAAACAAATCTCGTGTCTCACTTCAATGCCATCGTGTCGCGCATGTCGAAATTGTCACATTGCACAGAACTATCATGTAGTTTGCACATACAAAGGTTGCAGGTTTCTGATACGAGCGAAAGAACTTGATTTGTCATTGACAGACGCTCGTTTCTTGTTCATTGTTATGTTCTGTATATTTCTCTGCACAAAGCGAAAGTGAGAGATTAGAAAAAACAAAGACCCTAAAAAGAGAGCTCATCAAAAGCAGAAAGAAGACGAACGACACATCAACACTCGGAATACAGCGTTGCTCAGTATACTGAGTATTTAAGCGAAATTATATAACTCAACAAAGTGAAGTGATGCGATTCAAGCCTAGCGGCAATCCAGAGCTAGACTATTCAATTGAACTTGACTGGAAATTAGGAAATTCAGGAATCAATCTCAATTAGCTGGGACGTTTCATGACACTCCATGACTAAGTAGCCGTGCGGATACAATCCTCTTGGACTTGTCGTAAAGATTGGGAGCAGCTGTATTTTGAGCAGCTGTATTCTTTGTGACATTCTTATTTGTTCTCAGGGCTCTGAATGAGAAGCTAGCGGCTCCCACTCTGGTTCTCGTTCAGGCTAAAAAAACTGTAGCTTGCCCACCTCTGGTCCATAAGTGCTGGATTTCAGACAAATTGAAAGGATTTGACTTTTGATACCCATAGATAAGCTTGTAAACCATGCAAACTTCCGCAACGTGCGACGTGTTCGTCAAAGTCGGTCTCGTTGTGTTGCTCAACCTATGCGTGGTGAGAAGACCAGCTAGGGATTCGGCTATGCGCGTAGCTGACCTCTTCTTGCTTGGTGTACGTGCTGACACAAGCCACACATACATAGCAGTTATCTACGTGCGTCAGACACGAGAAAATTGCTAACGTAACGTAAAGTGGTAAGAGCAAAAAGTAGAGAAAGCGAACCTGGCTGTAAAAGTGTCTCGATTCACGCGATGTCACCGCATCCTGCTGCAGTGAAACGTGCAGTCATCAGGTAATATTTTCGTGACAGCAACTAGGATGTGTACAGCCGACAAAGAACGACCAGAATCAAGATCTGTGTTTACGAAATTGCTGAAGAGAGGTGGTTACGCGGTACGAGCACATCGCTGAACTTCTAATTTAAGTGCACGATATGCGCCACGTTGAGGGAAATGTCTCTATTCCTCGCAGAAAGAGAATTCATAGGAAGATTCTATCTCGGTGTTGGCTTTCCGACAGCAACATCAAGCACCAACTTGTTTCAGAAACTGCACGATAGGCAGTGCATCACCCCAGACTGCGCTATTCCCCCCGCCAGATGGAAGGACAGGAGATTGTGAAAAAAACTGGAGTATTTTATCAGCGAATGCAGAGCTTGTAACAGTTTGTACATAGGAAAAACAGGAAGAATGAGAGACGCGCGTAAAGAAACAGCGAGTAGGGGGATGGTGCGACGTTGAAGTGGCTTTGTAAACACGAAATGACTTCGATGTGAAGTGTGCTACATTAGGGTACGAATCGGGAGTGTCACCTGGGAAAGTGCTAAAATCATTTTGGATTTCCGCGAAGAAACCAATGGACAGCCAAATGGAGTGTTCGTCAATTACAGATGAATTCCTGTCGTTAGTGTCCAATGCGGCTTGACCTATGCGACACAATGTGACTCAAGTGAGACTCTTTTTCTTTACTAATCCTACTCCTACGCATGTTGGATAGCCTTAAGGATAGCCCTGTACGAAGTAGCCTTCGTTGGGTCGTTTGCAAGTATTGGGTTGTTGCATCATTCCCAGGCCTCTGACGGAGACAAGAAAGTTGGAGCATTGGGCCAATAAAAGTTTCCCACCACGCTCGGTGCACGTTTGGCAGTGAACAGTGTACACTCATAGAAAATGGCCACTTCAACCAGTGATACTTCCTGATTGGTCGGAGTAGTTCAGCAGTCAAAAATGCTTACCGGTATCGTTCTGGAGAATGTTCATCGGTAAGAACCTGGTGTATAAGTGCATCTTGCGTTGAATGACCACACCAGCTCTACAAAAGTACAACACTGTGAGACGTCCAATCGAAGACCTTATCCATTATGAATTACCGTGGCGTATCCAATGAAGAACATTTGCTCGTTGTTATACTTTTCCAGTCCTCTGATCCGCTTCTCTCTTCCGTGTTTCCTCAGAAATTTCTTGTATGCCTGATATTCGCAAATCAGGAAAAAGCCTTGATGAAATGGCAAAAAACCGTCACACAACGATAGAAAGCTAACCTATCTATACTTCATAATGAACCCTTTGGTTTCCTTTTCTGAAAGTCATCTTTTCTCATCAATGATAATCGAAGTAAAAAAAAGCACCAGGAAGAGGAGGTAGAATTGAGCATCGCTGGTTGGTGGCAAGAAGTTACCAACCACAGCACAAATAAATAGACATCTGATGGTACACGTTCTCACATTGCTGATCACAGCGCAACTGCTCGCACCGAGGAAACCCCATTAAAAGGTTACACCTTCCCAACACATCTGCATGGGAGTCGTTTGCACCGCCCATTGCAGAGGTGATAGCAATTGGCGCCAAATGAAATACTTGCTGATGCGCTTGGCGGAAATTTGTGTTTTGGAGACATGCCATGTCAAGTCTGGGAGATGGTATTGCGTAGGGGGGTGACAATGATGTCACAGCAGAGTATTTGCAAGATAGCAGGCCTAGGAAAAAAATATAATCCCAGTAAGGAAGTTTTGGAGATGTACAGGATTGAGGTAGATTTTGTTCTACAAATGTCCTCCTATAAGATCGTCGTAACTAATGAAGGACTCATAGATGACCCCGAAATACAGACAGGGGTCTCAGAGAGATAAGTTCATCAGAAAGGAAGGTTTCAAAGGCAGCGCCCACTCATTCACGCTCACTTGATGTTCCTACGCCCTTTCTGGATATCATAGCCCTCCCCATAAGGATGCAGTATGTACTAGTTTTGCATCTCACAAAGGCGAGAGGATAGCGCCTATCGCTAGTAAAGAGTCGACCGCCCCGCCCACCTGGCGACCACGACGCCCAACTTCATTTCTAATGGTTGCCTGATGGTGCGGTTGTTCCATTGCTGCTTCTCTCCACGTCGTGTGGTGAGAGTGAGGTGATAAGGGGAAACAGCTGAAATCAACAAGTGAGAACTCGTGCAACCACTCCTTCTCTTCGCCTTAAGCACGTACAACCGCTATTCGGTATGAAACTCCTTATAGGGCATTTTGCATGTTTTCTTTTTGATTTTTCTTCACTAATAGGTTTCTTGCTACCTTGCTATTACTACCTGAGCCGCATACTCATCAAATTTGAACGCATGGCGCTGCCTTTAAAGTATCTTAAAGTTAGGTAATAAGTGTCACCGTAGGGCTTCATAGCCCCACTTTAAAGTTTCCAGAAGCTCCACGATCCACGTTATATGTGACCAAGCCAAGGGTACTCGCGCGCTTGGACCGTAAACTAGCTTTCTCCAATAAGACAGCACAACGCATGCTCTAACTACAATTTTGGATGCCTGGCCGCGAACAATCAGTATTCGAGTGCTGATCCAGGCGTTATCTCTTTGTATCTTTTGTAGCACCTTATTCCATCTTCTGAATCCTTATTTTTTAGGAATGATATCATTTCTTTGATATTCACATTTATACTTGATCACTCTCGCGTCTTTTCCTTTGTCGTTTATTTTCGTGATCTTCCGTATTTTTTTCGATGCGTTTTATTGTTCAACCGCTGGTAGATTGATGCAACATAAAGGCACCAGCACTTGAGTGCTTATGTGGTAGCAGATGAGCAATTCAGTGCTGGTGCCTTTATGTGGCACGAATCTACCAGCACGTAACTGCTTATATGGTAGGCTATGATAGTGCTCTAGGCGCAGCGGGAACAGTCGTGATTGTCATTGAGGGGATATAATAATCAGCAAAGGCTCGCAACAGTCAGTGTGTCAGTAATCGTTTCGATTTTTTATACACATTACCACTACGTTGTGATGACCACGGCTCACGTAGTGAAGGGTAAGGATAGGTGGTGGGGTTCACTGAATGAATGCGTTGAGTGATAAAGAATATGTGAAGATTGCTTCAGTAAAGCTTCAGAGCCCTCATTCTTATTTCGCTACTGTTACCGTCGGAACCTTTTCGACCGCTAAATTTTTCGTTCTTCACGAAAGGCAAGTGCCTTCGACAAGTGATGTGCACAGTGCTTTAACGAGTCATCATTACAAAGTCAAACAAAAGATTATTTTTGATTTATCAATCCAGAAATTCGTAATATCGTAATATGGTGCTGTCCCGGAGCCTCATTGTAATCTGAACATGAAACACGTGAAAGAGGCGCCAAAAAATTTATTGCAAAAAACTCAAAAGACTCAAAAGAATCCAAAAGTTCTTGCAAAAATTTTTGTTTCTAATACTTCCTTCGAATATTTCGGTGCCTAGCACCTTCCTCAGCGATCTGAAATACTATAGTTAGTCGTCTGCAACCCGAATCCCGGATCTTGTCTTCAGTGGTGCCCGAACTGGACTCTGACCTGGTCTTCTGCCTCCAATATAGCCTCCGCCGCTCCTTGCAAAAGTGCGACTTCTAGTGTTGACTGCGACCCTACCCGTCATCCTCCCTTAAATAGTGAGGATGACTGGTGAGCGCTCTGCATATGATATCACTGACCGCTCAACCATTATCACGTAGTCAGTGAATCAACTGCAGCGCGTCACGTAGCTCATCCCTACTATTCATTTCCGGAGAGAGCCTTTTTATTTCCAGTGCTTCTAATAGTTTTCTTTCCACTGTATTTTCTATGGAACGGTGTAATACTGTAATGGTGATTGCCGGAGGACCTTCGTGTATATGCATGGTGGTGCGGTGCTTCGAGAGACTGTTATCCGGGTATGAAGCTGGATTGTTTAGGGCCCTGCGGTGTTCATCTCTCCGATATATTTTTGCCCGCATCCCTGGCATTCTATCAAATATACCGTTCCTCGGAGTTGGCATATTTTTCTATCATTACAGTAAGTGCAGTTCCCTCGTCCGCATTTTTCTTCATAAGGCCTGGAGTACGTTAGTAGTCTTTTTAGATTTGGCGGTGGACGAAATATGAGCTGTATGGGGAGTGGTGAGCTTTTGACTATACTGTTAACTTTCAGTGCCGTACTCTCATTTAGATATGGCATTACCAAAGGAATGCCATCTGGTGTCGAGTACGGTCTCCATGTATGAATACGTGTATTGACGTATCCATTCTCCCCAAGAATTCGGTCCACCGTCGTATCTATTCGTTGCGACCGCTGCGTACATGTTCTTTCTTTTGTCTTGATTAAATTGCGAACTACGTTCGCTTTCATATATGAGGGGTGGCAACTTCTGGCGTGCAGTAATATATTCTTCGACGCCGGTTTCTTATACCAGTACAGCTGTTTGACACCGTTTTCAATCTTGACCCTGGTGTTTAGAAATGGGACAAATCCGTCCTCATCTGGGTTCTCCACAGTAAACTTGATGTCTGGATCCTGTGAGTTGAGGTTTAGAAGCGTATCTTCCAACTCCCCCGATGAGGAACCAATAACGAAAACGTCATCGATGTACCTTTTGTAAAATAATATCCCTGATGTTAGCGACCGGCGTTCTATGCGGTCCAGAAAAAGGATGGCTAGTAAGGGCGCGATTCGTAACCCCATGGCTAGCCCCCGATGTTGCTTGTAGAACCTTCCGTCGAACTGAAATATGTTACACTCCAACGTTGCCTTGAACAATTTCCGCAGGTCTTCTTCTTCCAGGCCAAAAACGAAGATTTCCCTTCTATGCTGGCTCCATAAGTCTATTAGAGCATCAATTGCGTCCCAGGTGTTGACGTTCGTATACAAGGATACTGCATCAAAACTAGCATAGCTAGCGGTTGCTGGGATATGGCATTGTTCCAACGAAGCCATGAAGTCCCCTGTATTGACCAAATGCGATGATACGTGGCTTAGAAGAGGGGAGAATAATTTGACAAGGAGCCAGCTGATTCTGTCCGATGGTCCACCACAAGAGGAAATTATGGGTCGGGTCTTTACGTCTTGCACGGTGAGATGATCCAAAGTAGCTGTCGTAAATTTATGCGTTTTGACTAAAGAATAATAAGTAGGAACACTTGGGGAAGACAGGATGAATCGTTTGACTGTTTCTTTATCCAACCTTTTACCCAACACCGTTTTGATGGTCATTTCGAGTTGTTTAACAGCAGTCATGAATGATTGTAAGGATGAGTCCGTGTAGGTGTTGCGGTCCTCTAGGCTGCGACGCGACACTGCTTTATCCATGTCTTGGGTCATTACAACGAAGTCCCCACTCTTATCTCCTATGCTATAACGTAGCACTCTTTTCACAAAAAAAAGAGTGCTACGTTATAGCATAGGAGATAAGAGTGGGGACTTCGTTGTAATGACCCAAGACATGGATAAAGCAGTGTCGCGTCGCAGCCTAGAGGACCGCAACACCTACACGGACTCATCCTTACAATCATTCATGACTGCTGTTAAACAACTCGAAATGACCATCAAAACGGTGTTGGGTAAAAGGTTGGATAAAGAAACAGTCAAACGATTCATCCTGTCTTCCCCAAGTGTTCCTACTTATTATTCTTTAGTCAAAACGCATAAATTTACGACAGCTACTTTGGATCATCTCACCGTGCAAGACGTAAAGACCCGACCCATAATTTCCTCTTGTGGTGGACCATCGGACAGAATCAGCTGGCTCCTTGTCAAATTATTCTCCCCTCTTCTAAGCCACGTATCATCGCATTTGGTCAATACAGGGGACTTCATGGCTTCGTTGGAACAATGCCATATCCCAGCAACCGCTAGCTATGCTAGTTTTGATGCAGTATCCTTGTATACGAACGTCAACACCTGGGACGCAATTGATGCTCTAATAGACTTATGGAGCCAGCATAGAAGGGAAATCTTCGTTTTTGGCCTGGAAGAAGAAGACCTGCGGAAATTGTTCAAGGCAACGTTGGAGTGTAACATATTTCAGTTCGACGGAAGGTTCTACAAGCAACATCGGGGGCTAGCCATGGGGTTACGAATCGCGCCCTTACTAGCCATCCTTTTTCTGGACCGCA